TATTTACACATCATAAAATATCTCTAAATATAATAAAAGAAAACTTAAACTAATCTTTTACAACAGTTTCCTTTTGTAGGCCATTTGTGAAGCTGTTTTATGATTAGAAAAGAATAATCATGCTGTCTTTACAGCCAAAACCATTGGGGCCCTTGCTATATCCTGAAATTTAAGATATACATAACACATAATGAAAGAGAGATCAAAGCATTTTAAAAAAAAATATCAAAATAACATTTGACATGGCGTACATGTATTCTGTAACTCAGTAAGCAGTCAAAAGTTTGGAGCATAATAACACTGGAAAGCGCCAATACAAAACATCATTTAATTTCTCTATTATTAAAGTAGTATAATGAGTATAACTATATATAACAGTTTCAAAGACATGTAGTTATTAGAGGCATATAGCTGAAAGAGAAACTGGGAAATGTCAATGTAACTTACAACATTCTCTCTTCCTATTAAGTTAAATATTTCAGGGCTGCCACTCATCAAATCTAAGAAGAATAAATCTTATGTTTCGACCAAGCAAAACATTTTAAAAAACATAGTCAGAGAGAGAACCTAGAGGACACTATAGGAGAAATCTTAGGTTCTTAGCTTACATAACATTGGCAATCTTAGGTTCTAAACTTATAAGCTTAATATTTGACTAAGCAAAACATTTTAAAATTCAGTTTTAAGCTTACATTTTAAGACTTTGAAAATCTTACAAAGCGGTCTTAATTTGTTTTCAATCAATATGTCTTTATTACTCCGCAATAAAAGTCTCGTTGATCTCAGGTTTTAAGCTTAACTGCCCTCATTTCAATAGTTTTGAAGTTTCGACACCTTACTTTAGTATTTATATTGTTTAAGATCTTTAAAAATCACCAAATTAATTGGTAAGGACGTTTATTAGGAAGTGTTAATGCATTTTCCAGTAAGTGTTAAAGCTCTTAGTCTATAAAGTTAACAGTTTCTAAATAACATTTGATAATGTTCTTTAAACATTCATTTCAAGTAAGTCATAGGAATCCCAATTTACAAAGTTCATTATGTTTTTTTCTCATTCAAAAAGTTCAATCCGGAATAGTTTAATCTCAGGTTTTATACTCAATACCGTCTATTATGAATATGTAGTTAACTATTAAACATATTTAGACACCAACAAAGCCCTCTACAGGACATATGCAGTACATTATTAGTAACCTTTAATTTGGACTACATATTATAGCTAGGTAAAATAAAAGAGTAAAATGTATTGATAGATGGAAAGAAAGACGAGGAAATATCAACATCTCTATGTATGTAATAAAAGGTTGCTTATTTGTTTATAATTTATAAAGATAAAGAGGTAAGTGAAAGATGACTTATTAGTTTTATAATTATATAATGGTGCTAATAAGTCTTCAGTAAATACGTGTGGGAAGCACATGTATCCAATAATTATCTTCTTGAAGTCGAGACAGATTAGTGTTCCAAAAGCATAAATACGTGCTAATAACTTTTAACTTCTACATAATCTAATCCCTTATCTATTTATTTTGTTTTGTAAATATGAAATTAAAATTTTGAAATTGGAACTAAAAGATAAATAAAAGGCGAATGAAGATGCAGCAAGCTAGCTTGGGTATGATTATAAAGCCTAAAAACCCAAAACAGTAATTGGGAATTGATTTTAAGCCAGTGACAGAGAGCTGGTGGCGGATAAATGGTATGAAAATATTAGTTGCATTACTAACCACCAAAATAAGTAAAATCCGAGAGGGGAAACGCTCACTTCAAGATTATCAACATATCTAATTCATCAAAATTAAACCCATTCACATTTCAAAGGTACATTATGTTCACGACTACCCCTAGATATCAGATACCCAAGTGTTGCAATTGATCCGTTTTATTTCAGAAAACACAGAATCTAATCCCTTATCTATTTATTTTGTTTTGTAAATATGAAATTAAAATTTTGAAATTGGAACTAAAAGATAAATAAAAGGCGAATGAAGATGCAGCAAGCTAGCTTGGGTATGATTATAAAGCCTAAAAACCCAAAACAGTAATTGGGAATTGATTTTAAGCCAGTGACAGAGAGCTGGTGGCGGATAAATGGTATGAAAATATTAGTTGGATTACTAACCACCAAAATAAATAAAATCCGAGAGGGGAAACGCTCACTTCAAGATTATCAACATATCTAATTCATCAAAATTAAACCCATTCACATTTCAAAGGTACATTATGTTCACGACTACCCCTAGATATCAGATACCCAAGTGTTGCAATTGATCCGTTTTATTTCAGAAAACACAGAATTAATAACAATTTTCCAGAAAAATATACTCCGTGTTTATGCATTCTTGAGCAGGGATGATTATATACATAAGCTTAGCTTTCCTTTTGTACTTTTGCATGGTCTGTTATTTAGTGTGAGCCAATCCAAGATCATTATTGAATGCTTCAATGTTTAATTGATTGTATTTGAATTTGACACACTAACAAGAGGTTATACATTGTTTTGCCTAATTTGGATTCATCCACCGTGAAATTTAGTTTCTTAGAATGGGATGAAGTTAGGATCTAGGAAAACATTGGTATGGGGAAGAATTCGCAGAAATAGATTGGGTTGACTCTAAATAATCATCAACCAAAATGAAATGGGGCATATTTCACCACCTTCAATACAATAGATGGAACACTGTCAAGAAAAGGCTATCATACAAAAGTCGTGCAGGTACAAAACATGAGCCCGACAAGGAATTCAAAGAAACTTATTGCCTCTCTTTATTAAGCATTTTCTATTTCATCTTCTAATTGAAAACAAAAGATACAAACTTATATATAATGACTTAGCTAGGCTTCTCCTCTTGATTGATATTTTGGATGTAATGAAGTCTTTTCCTACTTTCCTAGACTTATAATAAATTGTTATTCCTCAAACATAGATTCATCTCACTGAACTTAAGATCATATTTTTATTACCTGCTTAAAAGACGGAAGACTTCTCTGCCCTCTATAGGCAGCCTTGATCTGAAGGTAGTATACCATTTCTAATTGAATAAACATGGGACCTAACAATTGCATCTACTTACATCACACGTAGGTTTATTTTAACTTACTCACATCCCATAATGCCGAACATGTTGTTTTCTCTATGTTAACTTTAAATCAAAGCGGGTTAGGACTCGGGGCTTAACCAGGTTTCTATTTTTGTATGGAGTTCTGGATTTGACTTTGACTCAAACACACACTATTAGAATTAATTTATGATACGTAGTATTTTCTTCTACAATTGATATCCAGTGCTTAATTCATTTTCTGGATGTGATGAATGATAAGGCATTCAATAGCATAGCTGAGCAAAAATCGGAGAAACGGAATGGAAACTAACCTGAACATTTGGCGCTTGAAGAGGGAAACGATGGGAGGTAGACCGGTGTGGTAAGGGCGCAGATGAGAGCAGTCTTGCGAGAAACCAGAGTTAGGAGCGCTGATTCGAAACAACCGGAAGTTGTAGCGCTGCTCTCCAAGTTCCGCTGGGTGTTTAGTTGCAATAGACGGAGCTATTAACGGAATTTAAACGAGAAGTTAGTTCCTTTAAAAGAGTACATAGGTCAAAACACAGAGTACAGCCTAATAAAGCAAGTGATTACACCAACATTATTTTCAACCCTAAAATGCCCTAACCCTCATTGAGTATTATAAAATTTTATTTTATTATAAGATATTGTAAATCATTGTGTGTATTAGTGCGTGTACACAGTACACATACGTACAAATTAGAGTCCCGATAAAGTGCAAAAACTCAGTCCTGAATAAATCATTGTTGTTGGGTAAATGGCCCAAGTTGAGGTTCGGCCCATTTTCCCCTTCTCCCGGACGTACGTCCAGATAAAACACCATGCTAGCCTTACAGGCTTACGATCCTTCATGAGAAACAAACGTCTGCAGTTGAGGCTTGGACTCAACGGCCCATCTCGACGAACGTCCATGCAGGGACAAGGAGCAGGACCACGGGTTGCCAGAATGACGACGAACGTCGCCAGAGCAAGCCCATAGCCATCGGAGGCAATCCAGCCCACATGGCGAGAATCCACAAAGGCCAGGGGACGAACGGCCAATACCTCTTGGGGGGGGGGGAGCGATCCAGCTCGCTCCCTGGGCGGACGAACGTCCCCACTAATTAGGCGGGAAACCTAGATTCTGGCGGGAAGTGCATTTAATGCTGAAGATTTGGTGGTTGGGACGCCAGCGAACCACAGGCTTCCACGTCAGTACAGCCACCTGCCCATTGGCGGGTATAAATAGAAGCATTTATTTCATTGTAAAGGGTTGCCAACTTTCTATTCTTAGCACTCTAGCTATAGCATTCTTACTCGCAGCGCTTCTACCGCCTTGTAAGACGAACGGCCGACGGAGCCTTAGCGAAAAGTATTGTATTAGGGAGTTATTAAGAGATAATAATACCTAATCACTTACTTGCTACTTATTGTTCTCTTTGATCCACATCATTTGCTTGTTGGGCTAGATATTCATACACACTCCACTCGAAATCCTTGGGCTTACGTGTTGGACCCAAGGGTTGAAGGAATAAACCTCAACAATTGTCTATTTTTATTACTCAATGGTGAGTCAAGTTAAGGATGTTTTTATTTGGATTATAATTGTCCTAAACCAGATTAGATCAGTTCAGTTTAGATCAGACCAGACCAGTAAATTGCAGTCAAAGTAACATTCCTAAGTGCAAACTGTATTTTGCTCACAAATGAGTAGGGGCTTCACTAGGATAGTAAGATGAAACAAGGTTAATTTAGTTTTTCTACTAAATTTAGACAACAAATGACCGCATAGCGCAGTGGATTAGCGCGTTTGACTTCGGATCAAAAGGTCGTGGGTTCGACTCCCACTGTGGTCGCTTTTTGCAAATCAGATTGGTTTCCGTCAAATTTTTAGTCGTTCTTTTACCGAATACTTTCTTTTTTCTTTTTTCTTTTTTCTTTTTTGGGTTTCTCTGCGAGTCTGCGATTCGCTTTTTGCACAAACAGAAGTTACAGAATGTTTTCCGTCAAATTTTTAGTCGTTCTCTTACCTAAGTCCTTTCTTTTCTTTTTGGGTTTCCCTGCGATGTTTAATCTGATCCTCTCCCGCCCACAGAGCCGAGCCTGAAGTCTGAAAAATTCTTCCATGAACACTCTCCGTCGATCCATCTCCACTCTGACCTACACCCCGAACAATCTTTTCCAATGCAACAAGCAAATACAGGACTTCTTCCGTCTGGGGCAGGTCAGCGACGCCCGGCAGCTGTTCGACGAGATGTCTCAAAGAGATTCTATCACATGGAACCTAATGATATCCGGTTACTGTAACAATGGCCGCCTTGATGATGCAAGATGCCTTTTTGATGCTTTTCAAGGCAAGAATGTCCGGACTTGGACCTCAATGCTCTCTGGGTACGCCAAAGCTGGAAGAGTATATGACGCATCCTTGATCTTTCATGCCATGCCGGAGAGAAATGTTGTCTCCTACAATGCTATGATTACTGGGTACGTATATAATGGGGATGTTCAAAGTGCGAGAGTGTTATTTGATGGCATGAGCGAGAGAAATATGGCTACCTGGAACTCCATGATTATGGGTTACTGCAGGAGGTGTTGGATGCGCGAGGCACGTGAACTGTTTGATGTAATGCCTGAGAGGAATGAGGCTTCGTATATGGTTATGATTTCTGGTCATGTGGCAATTAGTGAATATGAGGAAGCATGGAGGGTGTTTTTAGATATGCACATGAGAGGTGAGGCTAGACCGGACCAGCCAATATTATTGGCTGTGATGTCGGCAATCACTGGATTGGATGACGTGAGATTGGTTGCTTACTTTCTGCCACTTGCAATGAAGATAGGATACAGTGATGATGTTGTTGTAGGGACTGCAATTCTTAACACCTTTAGACGAACTATGAGTTTTGATTCTGCCTTAAAGTTTTTCAATGATATGCCAGAGAAGAACGACTACACTTGGAGCACAATGATATCAGCCTTCTCCCAGTGTGGAAGGTTGGAAGATGCGATTCTGTTGTATAGACAAGTTCCAGAACAAAACATTGGGACCCAGACTGCAATGTTGACTGCCTATGCCCAACATGGAAGGATGAATGAGGCGAGGCATATCTTTAACAAGATCAAGAGCCCGTGTGTACCTACCTGGAATGCCCTTCTTAGTGGATATGCACAAAACAGAATGGTTGAGGAGGCAAGGGAGCTGTTTTTTACCCAAATGCCTACCAGGGACATGGCTTCTTGGGGAACAATGGTTTCTGGGCTTGCTCAGAGTGGGGACAACAGAGGAGCTTTAGAGGTATTTGTTGAAATGCACAGATTGGATATCACTCCAAACCATTCTATTTTAACTAGTGCCCTATCTGCTTGCGCGAACATGGGAGACGTTGTTATGGGTAAACAGCTACACTCTCTCACCATCAAGACAGGGTGCCAGTTTAATTCTTTCATAGGGAACGGATTGATAAACATGTATGCTAAATGTAAGAATATAGAAGATTTTTCTCGGGTATTTGATGTCATGAAAGTCAGAGACAGAGTTTCTTGGAACTCGCTGATCTCAGCCTTTTCAGAGAACAACATGCTGACAGATGCTGTTGAAGTATTCAAGATGATGCCAGACCAAAACGTTGTGGCTTGGGCCACTTTGATATCTGCCTATGTCCAAGCTGAACAAGGTGACATAGCTTTCCAGTTATTCCATGACATGCTGAATGATGGAATAAGACCAAGTGAACAAACAGTCACTAGTCTACTGAGTGCGAGTGGGAGCCTCGGTTCCACAAAATTAGGGGAACAGGTTCACGCGTTAGCATATAAAGTCGCCTTGGATCTGCGCTTGTTCGTTCATAATGCACTCATAAGCATGTATTTTAAGTGTGGGTCCCACAAAGGATTTCAGGTTTTTGAGGATACGGCGGTCGAACAAGGAGACATTGTCACTTGGAATGCTGTTTTAACCGGTTGTGCTCAGAACGGGTTAGGCAGAGAGGCCATCAATATTTTTGAGAGAATGAAGTTTGCAAAGGGCGTCCCTAACCAAGTAACCTTTCTTCAGCTATTGTCTGTTTGCAGCCATTCAGGGCTAGTGGATGAAGGTTTGAATTATTTTGATTCAATGATTCGGGATTATGGCATTCCGCCTTCAATCAATCACTATACGGCAGTAGTTGATCTTCTTGGGCGGGCCGGTAGACTCTCTGAAGCAGAATCACTGGTAAACAGTATGCCTATGAAGCCAGACACTGTTATCTTGGATTCTCTCCTTGCTGCTTGTAAAAATAACAAGAACACAAACCTTGGCCAGAAAATTGCAGAAAGACTATTTCGGATGGGTACAAAAAAATCAGGAGCATATGTGTTGCTATCAAACATTTATGCTTCCCAAGGCATGTGGGAGGAAGTTGGGAACATACGAAGCACAATGCTGAAACGGGGAGTAAATAAAGAGCCAGGTTTTAGCTGGATCTATATCAAAGGAAAACTGCATTCTTTCCTTGCAGGCAATAAGAGTATGATGGAAGAGCAGTTGACAGAGATTTCTTCAATGTTGGAAGATTTTTGTGTACGGTTCAAACCAATGGGATATTTTCCTGACACGAAATTTGTTTTGCATGATGTGGATGAAGAGCAAAAGGAAGGCGAACTTCTTTACCATAGTGAAAAGATCGCTGTGGTCTTTGGCATCTTGAGATTGCCACAAGGTTCGCCCATTCAGGTTATGAAGAATCTTCGTATCTGTGGCGACTGCCATATTTTCATGAAATTCTTATCCAAAGTAACACAACGCAAGATAGTAATTCGGGATGGTAATAGATTCCACCACTTCCAAAATGGCATATGTTCTTGTGGAGATTACTGGTGATCGTTTCCTGGGATAGTGCTTATAGAGGGATTTACTGAAACCATGTTCTGTAAATGGTTAAATAAAATGTTGGAAATTTTATGCAAAAACTCCTTGCTGTGATGCTGGTCCAGACCTTGGACAGAAGGCGAGTTTTGAGATGCAGAACACATTCTTCTCCATCTTAGGCTTTTGGGATATGAGGTGAGTGCATCCAACTGGTATTGTTTGGTGAATTTATGAAGCTTAGAAAGGTCTTTGGCTGATCTTATGCCCTTTTTCTTGGAGAGTTTCCATGAGATCAAAATATTCTTTTAGTGATCCATCCATTAAATTAAGCATGAATGACTAATTCACACCTAGTGGAAAACATCAGAGGCATATTTGCACTTCTCTCCAATCTTAACTTCGAACAACAACAGATACTCATTTACTTGCACTTCTCATCAAGGGCATACTTTCACTTCTCTCCAATCTTAATTTATTATACTTTAATAATATACTAAATTAAAATATCATATACTTCTAATAATAGTATAACATGGACTACGGAGTAGTGATTAGTGTGTGATAATGTAAACCTTCTCTAATTTTACTAATATTATAGTAGTACTTGTTAAGTTAGTATTATTTGAGAACTATAATCAAATTTATATGTTTATTGTTTAAATTGTTATCAATTATAATTGTAATATTGTAACTTTTTTTATATTCCATAAAAACCTGATTACTCGTTGCTTGTGTTTCTCTAACATCGTTCATGAGGCTATCTCAACCTCCTAACTTTAGGCTATCTTTCCTTTTCTCCTCTAGACAGTTACAAACCTTATGAGTCAGGAACAGAAATCCAAACCAAATCTCTATTTTCTTGGTTTATATTTTTCCTCACCTCAAGCATTAGTCAGACCTTGTAGCTTTTAGCTTTTTATAACTTCGAGTTCCTTCAGATTTTCTTCTACACAGACAACTGGTGTAGATTAAAATGCAAGATATTTGCACTGGCTGGGCTCATCTACCTCAGTTACCTCATGTTTCAAACCACATCTTAGTTTGACCTTTATTCTCCTATCTGGTCCATTCCAGCAATGATCTCCATTTGTGTAGCCTTTCTGAAAGGGAAAATATTATATGTGTACTTGTTTTTCTTGATTTCAAAACATTGACCATGGAATAAATAGAACTCCTTCTGTGGCCCGAAATCGTGTTTCATTATCTTTGTCAATTTAGATATCCTCGACTGAAGCTTTGACAACTTAGCACTTGAATCATCATATTCTTTGCTTATGCGTGCAGCCTCAGATATGTCTACTGGATTTTGGAACAAATTGAAAGTCTGAAGAATTCTCTGAGCATTTCTTTCTCTTCTCCAGCCAATGTGGATTGCTTGTGCTAGAAATCCAAGTCATCGTCGTCTGATGATGATGATGATGAAGATGGTGAACTTGAATAATGATCTTCCCCTACAAAATCATCCCCTTGATCTTCAGCTTCATCATCAGATAGTAAAGGGGATGAATTCGAGTCGCTGTGATCTTCCTCGCTAAGTTCATCCATTTGGTCTTCAGGATCATCATCTGAGTCGAATGTATTGTATTCTTCATCATGGTCACCATGATAATCTTTATCGGTCTTGTCCTCTCCAGATTCCTTCTCATTCTTTTTTCCTGTGATCCTGTCCAACGAGGACCAACTACACGGCCCATCAAGGATTCAGTATCTTCAATTTCGTCTTTCACCTCATTTGCGCTTCTAAGAAGAACAGATCCATCATCATCTGCAGACAACTCCTCCTCTATCATGGCATGCTTGTGTGAGTCCTGTGCCACCCTCTCAGCTTCATCGCGGGCGGTCTCTTCCATTATTAAAATGTCAATATTGTCAGCTTTGTCCACTTTACTGCTATAAATCTTCTACCTCATTCTCTACAGAAGGAGCTTTTTCTGAGGGAATATCTTCACGGAGATCTTTCAACTTTACAGCTTCCTCATGGTTTTTCTCATTTTTGGTATCCTCCAACTTAGCTTCTTCAGTTTCTCTCTTTTCTTTCTCTTCCTTCTCTCTTTGCAATCGTTTTTTCTCTTCAGCCTTTTCTACCTGTTCCTTGTGCTCAACTATCTTTTTAACTATCTTCTCCAATTTTGCTAGTTTCACCAATTCTGCTTCCTCCAAATTTTCCAGTTTTGCCTTATCAACTTCCGAATTCCTTATAATAACACATTTTTGATATTTTGTGATTCTTTTCTTTAACCTATCTCTAGCCTCCTTGCCAGCCTCCCAGCACATATTAGGGCACTTTGTTTTGCCACCATACTCATCACTCCCATCACAGCTATCACAGATACCATCGTTAACCCTTGATGAATATATAAGGAGGGTTGTATGTCCTGCATTTCGGCAATAGAACTTGCCACTGGGGCATGCTGAGGTTCCTGGCTCATTGGAGCCATAAGGACAATCACAGAAATCATCATTGAGCTGAGCCACACTGAATTTAATGATCCGTTTTTGCATTTTATGGCAGCTCCGGATGACAATCCACTGTAGGGTCTGTAGTACTTCTCATCTTGAGGAGAGATTCCAAGGAAATCTCTGGAAGGGAGAGATACCACTGATCTGCTGATCAACTTAATGCAAAGCAATATTGACCAGAATAAGAGGCGCCGAACTCGTAGCAGCATCCTCACTAATGTAGAACTGTGGTGCTCCGAAGCAAACTGAACTAGCAGATGGATGGATGGAGGAGGAGTGGAGGCGCCGACCGCGCTGTCTGAAGATCGCCAGAGATGAGTGAGACTGGCAAATGAGCAGGGCCAGGAAGCCATTGTAATATTGTAACTAATTACATACATAATTCCAATCCTCTCCTTAACAGCACTACAATTCTCACAACAAAAACTCCCGCCTACCTCTCATTCTACAACATCCGTTCGATTCCTAAAATATAATCAATGGCCTCTACATTCCATCATACACCCTTACCTTTTAATGAGTTCTTTCCTTCAATGCCTATACTAGACTTCCATTATCGACTTTCGTTCACTTAGCCAATCATAGGAGCATTAGAAGACTGGAATGGCGGTTCCTTCGCTTCCCAATTACCTTTGCCTTTCTCACTTCGCCATAGCCTCATTCTGTGTCGTCAAATTATGTACTGAATCAGGTAATCTTCCCCTTAAAACTATTTTATTTTTATTCTTTTCGGCTCTAAATCGGGTTCATGTTCATCTTTCAGAGTTCGGGTTTGTTAGAAAATAAATTCATTACTTTATGGGTTTCGATTGATATTGCGGAAATCATGTTCTTCATTCATCTTCATCATTAAGATGAAGCCTTAGGGTTATGATACTTCGAATCTTCAATGAATGGTTCTGTCAAAACCAATGATTTGGCAGTTTAGGTTCACACATATAGAAGATTACTGATGATTATAAATGTGTTTGTATATTTCGTTTTTTATTAATTATTACTACTCAAAGGGTCGATCTTTTTTGCCTTTGAGCAGAGGATTCAGTCATTTTTGTTCTTCAATTTCACTTTTTAAAATTACTCATCAACATATTGTATTTACTTAAGGTGTAAAATGTATATCCCAACTACTGAAAAACATGTACAACAATTTGATATTTTGTCCTCACATGAAGGAAAAAAGATTGATGGTGAGCAACTATTTCTAATTTTAGAGGCAGAAACTCTTGAAAATTATGAGACATACTCAAATATTTTAAATCTATACTTCTTAGAGAGTAGGTTTTTTTAAAAGTGTTTCTCTTTGTTTTTTTATCGTTAAACTTTTGATTATTTTCTTGGTTTACATGTTCAAACATATTTGAAGTATAAAATTCAAAAATCAAATGTTCAAGTAACTTAAAGTAAAAAAGCATAAAACAGCTATCTATGAATATGAATAGGAATTTCAAATTGCAAGCAAAAAAATGATTATGGCATGAAGGTCCCATTGTTCTTTGTTTTTCCTTGAGGGAGGATCTCTTTTTGCCCTTCACCGGTATCTCGTAAATCCATCTCTATTAATTTTGCTTCTCTGCCTCTCTTCATTTGCACCTCCCTCTGTTCTACTCTTCTAGTCCTCTTACACAATATATTGAAAATGCATTTTTTGGACTAGATACAGAGTAGATTTATTTACAAAAATAACACAGCTTAGAAAGGTTGTAATTGATTATAAGTAATTCTGTAGTACATAAAATGTCATAATCTTGAGTTAGAGCTTGTTATAGATGTATTTGTAACTTGTTTCTTAATTTTTTATTAATTTTTTCTGGTCAAATGTTTCATTTTTTTTTTGCCTTCTAGCAGATGATTATAATCAATGTTCTCATGTAGGTATTTACTTTCAGAAGTTTAACTAAAGAGGATTTGCTGATTATTTTGTGATTTAATATGGTTCATTCAGCTTACTTTCTTACAAATATGCATATAATGGGAATACGAACACCTCAAACTAACAATGGTTGACTTAAAAGACTTCACTTCAACTTAAACATGGCAAAAAACAATCCAGATTGAACCTTCTAAAATTTAAAAAAATAGGTTTTCAACTGTTAGCCTAAAATTCTTTCTTCATTTTTTGAACCTTGGTATCACCCAAGAACTACCAGGGGTTTAATATATCACGTATCAATATATTTCGTGTTTGATCATAAGGCATGTTTCTCCTTTTGCAGCAGGGTTGGACTTTTTCAAGTGTTTAATTAAACCTTCAAGTTGCTCTATAACTTGTATATGGTTTACGTTGATCTAATTTTCAATTAGACCTTTTTCTATTATGGTAGTGAGGAGATGCTCTAAGATTATGGAAACAAGGTTCATAATATACTTGGGGATAACATACTATCCCCCTATAATGAAGAAGCTATTGGTGGATCAATGCATCAAGCACCTCCAGTTGATCAAGAATTGCTTTGTAGTGTTAAAGATCTTTGAAGAAAGTCCTTGCATCAAATGGTTAAACAGCTGGTATGCTGTATAACGCTTGAGATAAACACTTGGTATATATCAAACTTGCATATATAAATGCATTATTTAAATTTATTATGTTTGAGAAAGTCATCAGGTGTATGTCATTTAGGAAGTCTAATTTACCTCTAAGAGAAGACCTTAAAATGTTATGTCATGAAAGGAATCGTAATTGAAATACAACTACAGCAAATCATATTGTTCAATATCTATGCATTTATCGTAATTGAAATGCAACTATGGCAAATCATATTGTTCTGAAAGCGATGGAAGACAACTTCATTGGCAAAAGTAGACATAATACAAAAGTTCTATCACATTATTCACTCTCTTTCCTTTATTGATTTTTTCTTTAAAAAAGATTTACAATCAATTATTGCCCTCACTTATTCTTGCCCTCATTTTCTTCCGCCTTCATATTATTTCATATTCTCCGATTGCCCTCATCAAAATCATCACCAAAATGACTGACAAAACTGCATATTTCTTGCATTCCATTTCTTCCTTCTTCATTCAGCTATGAAATTTCATTTTCAGTAATCTGTTTTTTCCTTTATTTATTCCTTCACATTCAATTTCTTCATAATTGTCTGTAATGCAGAGGAGATTGAGGCTGAGGAGATTGAGGCTTGGATGTTGTTGTTGTAGAGGAGATTGAGCTATCTTCTACCTATCATCAGATTTTGGTTAGCAATAGGGCTAAACAAAGTATTCTTCAAGCAGTTTTGGGCTCTTGGCAATATGTTCTCTCAGAGATGAGGTTTTCATGATTCCTAATTCTTTTTTCCTTATCCAGAAAATACTTCTTTAGTGTAGAGGAAAATGGTGGATCAATGCATCAATTCTACACTTCAATTCTTTCCTATTCTCTCACCTTTGAATTCTTGATAATTTTCTTTAGTGTAAAGGAAAATGGGCTGCTTCACTTTGCGCTGTAGTTGAACAGTTGAACATGATAATAGTAATCATTTACTAACCTGATTTTGTGGATAAACTTTTAAGATAATAGGTTATAAAAAATGCAGCTTATAAGTCATACACATGTAGTTTGCTTTAAAAATTTGAGATTAGAGTTAGATGAATGTAAACAGTCCATAAAGATGGAGTGCATAAACATGCGACACTATCTTTTTTTAATAGTTAAATGATTTGAATTGATTGATCTGAAAATGATAATTAGAATTGAATAGATTGGTCTGAAAATGATTCAATAGTGAAATATTTTCTTCACAACATGCAACACTGTCATTTTTATTATCATTTCAAAGATCAATTTTATTGAAGATAAAATGCATATGCTTGAAGACCAATACTCCTAGATCTCAAAGCAAAAGAATTGAAATTACACTTGGAAAATACTTTATGTATGTTTTGCAATTACGTTTAATTGCCTTTTAAGTTCCCCATCTCTCATACCAACCTAATATATTTGGGTGAAAAATGCATAATTCTTGGTGACTAAGGGAGTGTTTGCAAAAAAATTAAAAAGTGTTTTTCAGCTTTTGGCTTAAAAAAAAGTTGAAATGAGTGTTTTAAAGTGACAACTTCCGCTTAAATTAAACACTTAAAAACTAAAAGTTGGAAGCAGGTGGAACGGTGTTTAAAGTGCTTTTCACTTTTTCTATTACACAAAAAACATTCAGTTTACTAAAACACTATCAACTTTTACTTTTCTGAAGAACATTTTTCTCAAACAGCTATCAACTTTTACTATTAAGCATTTTCTCCAAAATTCCTTTAAAAGATCACTTTTTAAAGTAGAAGTAACCGCAAACATTCTCTAAGCCTTGACAAACATGAAAATGACCTGAATCAATCAAAAATATTACTATAAACTTGGTATTTTTTTAGGGCAAGAGGTGAAGTTTTCATGATTTCTGATTCTCCCCCCACCCAATCGAGACAACAGCAGAAAAGGTTTGTGAAGGCAGGAAATGTATAATGTAGAGCAGCAGCAGCAGTAGTAATTCTATTGTTGTACGTTTCTTTGACATTGAACTCGATGTCTGATTCAAATGTGATAAACAATGCAGAGGCATTCTTTGTTGCTGATTTAGGAAGGGGTTAGGTACATATACTACAAAAATACAAATAGCCAATATGTCCAGGCTATACATGTAGTCAGGTTGCTGGGGTAAAGATTAGACTTCATGTCTTGGAGGCAGGCTATGTAAAATGGATTTTAATTCTTAATAGCTGGAATGTAATATTTAGGCTGACTCGGTTCGGGCCGGGCCCGGTTCGGGCCTTGAACCGGTCGGGCCTCGGTTCACCAATAGGAGGGCCCGGGCCCGAACCGGCGGTGACCGGTTCCGGGCCGGTTCCGGGCCTGACCGGGCCGGTTCCGGGCCGGTTCACCCGCCCCCCCCTTTTTTTTTTTTTGGCTTCTCTTATTTAACCCTCTACCCCTCACCCTCAACCCCAAACCACCCCAAACCACCTCAAATGGCCCAAAATATCTAATCCAACCCAAAAATTAAAAAAATTTCAAAAAAAAATAAAAAAAAAAATTATTCCGGCCCGGACCGGGCCCGAACCGGCCGGGCCGGTTCACCAAATGGAGGGCCCGGGCCCGGAACCGGTATCCACCGGGCCGGTTCAACCCGAACCGCCGGTGGACCGGGCCATCGGGCCGGGCCGGTTCCGGTTCGGGCCGCCCGGCCCGAGTCCAGCCCTACTGACAATGGTAGAAAGAGTTTTGCGTGTGAAATGAATTCCACTCTTGTAATTACCTGATTCAAGTCACTTTTTCTTCTTATTGACTTAGATTTTTTGTGATTTTACCAAGAAGACCAAATTATTTACTTCAACCGATTCAACGTATTACTAATTGAAAATGAGATAAAAAGTGCGCATCTTAATTTTTTGGCTAATATTGCTTCTTAAGACTTAAATGGACCGAGTGATGACATTTCTAGCTTCATTTTATGATTTCCTCTAATTCATAAGTTAATCTAATTGAGCCATATCAGAGAATTAATTCCTGTTAATCTCTCCCCCCAACAACTATTGTATAACTTGGTAAGGCCAAAGGGCAATCGTAATCCATTATTACTGTGGACTTGACAAGAAAATAATCGTAATACATACATACTAAGTACCTCATACAACAAACAAGAGTATTTGGTTACATGCACACATGCCAACACATAGGCTCATAGGATGAATCCAAATAATATTTTTTTTCAAGTGTTTAATCAAACCTTAAATGATATTTAGTTTTTTAAGTTTTTTCACAAATTTTATTCATATGTTTTTTTCAATTCAAGGAACACCTCTTTTAGTGTTCTGTTAGAGCTTGCCACAATGGAGAAAGTCCATCACTAATGCTCTGAGTCAAACACTAGAGCTAATATGAAAGAGTATTTTTCCAAAATATTACAAGCAAGCAATGAGTAACAGAGTAGAGCAGAATGAGGGAAGTGTGAATCAAATATTCACTCGAGCACAATCTCAAACTCTAGGAGCACGAGTGTATTAGTTGGGTTCAATAAGGGATCACTACTTCATCCCTGTAAAAGTAGGAATCGGAATACAGCAGTATCAACTTGATAATCGAAACGAGGTAAATCTAGCACCCAGTTAGTTATGGATATGTTTTTTATATCCCCACCGTCCCTGAGCAAAAGTGACTTGTCCGTAGAATAATAAAGTAAAAATTGTGTAGTTGAAATTTTTACGGAGGGAGAAATAATTGTAACCACGTGTTACTTTACATGGACATGACAATTTTTTTGGACATCTAAGAAACAAAATTTGGCCATATTTTATGGGACGGAGGTAGTATATATTTAGATGTAAAAATATTCATTTGTATTTATTTTGTTTGTATTTTCTTAATTTGTTTTGCTTTCTAAATATTCACAAGACAAAACATTGAAGTGTGCATATGCAAAGATGAAGGCTGAAAACCCGCAAAACATGTGATCTTCTAGGAGATTTTCAACCATTTGTAATGTGAGTAATAATTTAATTTGTGATAGTAATTATTGTTATTTTTGTTGTTAATGATTTAGGATGTTTTTACTTGGACTGTAATATGTCCCGGATCAGACCAAACCAGATCAGACCAGACCAGACTTGGATAGTTATAAAAATACAAAGAAACCAGACCAGATCATACAAACCAGACCAGTTCAGACCAAACCAAACCAGCAAATTACAGTCTAAGTAAAAACATCCTTTGTCATTCATATGATAACTTATACATAGTATTTTATTTCTATATGCAAATTCTATCTCGTGCAACATACAGGTAGCATACTAGTAATATTATAGAGTGATTTGTGTAACACTGTTCAACTTCTATATTTTTTACTAATAGTATACTAGTTGTTAAATTAGATTTTTGTGATATGAGTGCTCTTATTAGGGGTGGACTCGGACCGGGTGGCCCGCCTCGGAACCGGCCCGACCCGGTCACTGTTTGAACCGGCCCGAACCGCCGGCCCGGTCAGGGACCGGTCCGGGTAGGCCCGACCCTCTGGGGTTCCAGGCCGGGCTCAGGCCCTTCAAAAGGTGAACCGTTCCGGGCCAATTTATTATTTTTTTCTTTTTTTTTTTGAATTTTTTTTAAGTTTTTGGGTTGGACTGGGTATTTTGGGCCATTTGAGGTGGTTTGGGGGTGAGGGAGGAGGGTTGGGGGTTAATTAGGAAAAGCCAAAAAAAAAATTAAATTGAACCGAGGCTCGGCCTGGCCCGGCCTGACCCGGGGGTTACCCAGGCCGGTTCCGGGCCTCCCCTATCATGAACCGAGGCCCGGCAGGGCCCAGGCCCAAACCGGCCTGAGTCCACCCCTAGCTCTTATTTATATTAGGGCTGGACTCGGGCCGGGCGGCCCGAACCGGAACCGGCCCGGCCCGGTTACTGTGTGAACCGGCCCGGCCCGGTGGCCCGGTCCACCGGCGGTTCGGTTCGAACCGGCCCGGTGGATACCGGTTCCGGGCCCGGGTCCTCCATTTGGTGAACCGGCCCGGCCGGTTCGGGCCCGGTCCGGGCCGGAATAATTTTTTTTTTATTTTTTTTTTGAATTTTTTTTAATTTTTGGGTTGGATTAGTTATTTTGGGCCATTTGAGGTGGTTTGGGGTTGAGGGGGAGGGGTAGAGGGTTAAATAAGAGAAGCCAAAATTTAAAAAAAAAAAAAAAAAAGGGGCGGGTGAACCGGCCCGGAACCGGCCCGGTCGGGCCCGGAACCGGCCCGGAACCGGTCACCGCCGGTTCGGGCCCGGGCCCTCCTATTGGTGAACCGAGGCCCGGCCCGAACCGAGTCCAGCACTAATTTATATAGTCATAGTGTTGTACTGCTATTTTTTTTTTTGAATGTTACACTGTTATTATTTTTATTCTTATTTAAATTAAGAGACTTTTCCTCAATATCATTACAAGATAAATCTAACGAAAATCTAAAGGCTAATACTTTTAATCTCTGTATATTACTATGAAAGAAAAAGATCCCAAACTTGTAATTATTGCAAAAAAAATCATGAACATGAAATCAAGGAAGAGTATGAAACCTTTCGAAAACAATTTCATGTAAAACAGGGCATAAAGGCGATATCGACAAAAGGCATAGGAATACAAACATTAACTTCAAGTTTTCAAGTGTGCAATTCTAGGCAAGGAGCCGAGGACCAATGTGTGTTTAATTGAAAAAATGAGAAAATTTTCAAAATGATAACAAATTTTTTGGAATCTCAAAATACAACTATCATGTTTGTATTTTCTAAATAGGAATAATAACTGCAGGCATAAAACTTACTGTGAAATCTAGAAATGACACAACATAAGTTACATAACATTGATTGTTTCTATTTTTAAAAAAAAAAACATAATAGTTCTACTTTGAAAAGCACAAACATTTTTACCCTATTTATGACTTTTTTTTAAAAAAATATGGCGTTATTTTAATACTTTTGTCAAACACCTTTAATGTGTTCGCTAAGGGCTTGCAAGTAATTTGAAACCACATGTAAAAAAAATTAACTTTAATTTTTAGCTATAAAGATTAAAATTAATAGTTTTAAGAGACAAGACGGCGAGGAACCGGATACCAGGTAAACTGGTACACCTTGTTCACCTGAATATTGAAAGATTGTCAGTTTTATACTGTTACAAAAACAAGAACAGCCTCAGCAAACGTGCAATTAGAACACGCGACGACATACATAGAAACACTCAAACAGGTTCATAGATGCCATGATTTAAGCTGGCTATACTCTCGCGATAAAGTGATAGCATCCTTCCTGAACTCATCTTCAACAACTTCAAGAATAGCTCATGTTGTGGTAATATCTTCCTGAGAAAGAATATTTGAGCAAATAATAAATGCTAAGAGTCCTTTATAAAGAACAACAAATAAAAAAATTAAGCCGGACATGTACATGAAATAGGAAATCATAATTATAATCACCAGAGGACTTAATCTGTGTTAAACTTAATCTTCTTTGGAGCCGTCTCAATGTTACCAACCTGCAGATGATAAGTAATTTAGAAGATATCATTTCAACTCATTCTTAGAGGAGCTTAAGGAGAAGCTGTGGAGAAATATTATAGAAGCGCAATACCTGGTGCAACATTTAACTATTTTACTACAATATTGCAAGACAAGATAGGCCTATGACCATTTCCTCAAATATCTTGAAAACATATAGCACAGAGTACATTAACGCAATGACCAAAATCAAGAGGTTTTTCCTTGAATATTACTTAAATAAAACTGATGGACAAAACATGAATTAAGTTACTACAAGGATATCATCATAGTCACTACAATGTAATTAGATCATCATCACAGCTATTAAAGTTATTATTATTGTCACTGAAGTATAAAAAGTCACTTCCATTCACCTTATTTTTAGTCACACAATAGTATTTGTCATTATTTCAAAAATCAATTCCTAGAGAATAGAAGCAAATTAACAATTGGAATGATGATAGACCAATAATACTCCCTATGTCCCAAAACGATATTTATTATTTTGCTTTTCAAGCCAAAATTCATTAATTCTGATCACTAAGGTTTATGCAGTAATAATTACTCTTGCAATTCTCTGGTTTGTTTCAAAATTATGTTCCTTTTCTTTTTAACAAAAGAATTGTGCAGATGATAATCCTCTTCAATTTTTAACAAATGTCTACCACAAAATTTTCATTTTCTTAATAAGCACGCCTCAAGAAATTGGGAGCTTGGGGCAGAGGAAATACTATTTTCCTAATTTCCAAACGCATTCTCACGGGGCATATGAGAAATCACAACAACAACGTCCAATCCTTAATCCCAAAAGAGTTTGGGGTAGACTAAAATGAATCGGACATATGACGAGAGAAATCACAAATGATGTTTTTTATTTACTGTTTGAAGCAAGGATCTGACTATAACTACCATTCACACAGTTGTTCAGAGGAAAGAACATTGCTTTACGGGTTATGCTGAAGTGTGTTTGTGAGAAAGAACAATTAATGTCTACTTTTATAAAATTAATGATTCAAGAAAGAACCATACACTCTCCATTCATACACTTATTCAGATTACTAACCAGTATCCTAATATAATCCAACAACACTTACACCTGGTTTACTTCATAACTATAGTTTTTTAGTTGTAACGGCAATAGGGGGTGTTTGTATCTACTTAAAACTGCTTCTGCTTTTTCAAGGAGCTTAAACAAATATTGGAGTGTTTGGGTGATAGTGCAGAAGTACTTCTAAGTTCTCCAATTTGCTTCTAGAAGGCTAGAAGCAATTTTTTAGAAGCTAAGAAACCAGCTTCTGAAAAAATGATTATGATTCTACTACTTCTAAAAAAGAAGTGGAAGCAGAACCAATTCCAAACACCCCCTAAATGTAAAACTTTTAGTTACAGTGATCAATCTTTAAAACCACATTTTATCTGTTCTTGAAATTTAAAAATCCTTTATTGACACTTGAAAATCGAATGCATCCATTGCACTTTACCACGTGCCTAAGAGCATCACATTAAAAACTGATTCAGATTGGTTTTTCTTTTGGTTGTCAATTGCAATGTCATGGTCATTTAAAACTGATTCAGATTAGATTAGCAACCAACTCTGCTTTTACTGGCATCCAAATTTCAAAGTGAAGTAGTGGACTCATGGGCATTACACAACATGAGAGGCAAAACAATGAGGAATGTGC